GGATTAGATACTTACAGTGTACCCATAAAATCAAATCGTCATACCCACACACAGCAGAGTCTATTTTCCTTTAAAAGACAACACATGGGCCTTTACACATCGACACATTCGTATACAGATAGGAAACAGGCAGGAAGGGACATTGACTAAGCTGCTAGCACTGGCTACGCCCACGGGGTGGAATGGGGAAGGTGAGGTGGAAGGGACGCCCATGACTGAGTTATAAAATTTCCCCAGTAATCGGGACTGTGGTAAAATTGTTGTACTTTATTGTTTTGGATTTATGAGAATTAAAATGTTAAATTTAGCCCTGACCGGTTTGGCTCAGTGGATAGAGCGTCGGCCTGCAGACTGAAGGGTCCCAGGTTCGATTCCGGTCAAGGGCATGTACCTTGGTTGCGGGCACATCTCCAGTAGGGGGTGTGCAGGAGGCAGTTGATCGATGTTTCTCTCTCATCGATGTTTCTAACTCTCTGTCCCTATCCCTTCCTCTCTGTAAGAAATCAATAAAAAATATATTTTTTAAAAAAATGTTAAATTTAAAGGAAAGAAAAGGTATTCACAAAAGAGGAAATCCAAGTGGTGAATACCCTTATGTCATTAGAAAAATGCAAAAGACCGCCATGAGCCCCCTCTACCCACCCACCGAAGGGCAACAGTCGAGGATGGACCAGGATGTCCCGCGTCTGAGCGTAGCCGCCCCTGCAAACCTGAGCAGCTCTGCCCAGGGACCCTTCCAGAACGCCGGGGGGCAGCAGCTGGTGGCCGCACGCCTGAGACCACTTCTCAGCCACCCACCCCACCTTCTGTGCACACGGGTGGGCAGACTCCACCACCTATGGCCTCTGTGCCCACCGCAGGCCCGCCCGTGACCTAGTGTATGTCGGTGATGCGGACGGTGCGTCCTGAGCAGCTGGGTTTCTCGTGCAGGGCGTGCCTGCTCCCTGTCAGCACAGCGTCAGGTACAGAGGGGTCACCATAGCCTCCGTTAAGGACTGGAGGTGAGGCCAGCGGGGACCCCGGGACCCTCGTCACTGCTGGTGGGTATGAAGGGGTTCGACCAGCCCAGTGGCAGGAACGAGGGACGTGCCTGCGTGCACCAGGACGCGACACCGCTGTCCACGTCCGTGCTGCTGGTATCAGCCAAACCAGGAAGTAACCCCAATATCCTCTGAAGGCAGAACAAAGAAATCGATTGTGACATGTTTACACGTGGATTATCATCCAGCCACGAAAACGAATGAACTACAACCAGAGCCTCAACCTGATGACTCCCAATAGCGTCGAGGGAAGAAGCAAGACACGGATGAATGCACACGCTCCTCTCTCTCTCAGCTCCAAGGGCCCTTCTGCTGCCGCCATAACTTGTTTCCTGAGCCCACGCCGCCCAGCTGGCTCACTTCTCCTACCTGTGTGGCTTTCTTCTTCTTTTTTAAAAAATAAATACGTTTTTAATGATTTTTAGAGAGGAAAGGAGCAGGATAGAGAGCCCCCGAACGGTTAATGAAGCTTCAATATAGATCAGCTGCCTTTTGCACACACACACACACCGACACACACTGGGGCTCGAGCCCATAACCTGGACATGTGCCCTGACTGGGAATCAAACCCTGACCTCCTGGTTCATAGGTCGACGCTCAACCACTGTGCCACACTGGCCAGGGCCTCTGTAATTTTCTAAATAAACTTTCGCTCGTGTTTGAAAAAAAGAAAGACAATTATGATCCTAACGGTGGTGAGATGTTGCTCCAAGGGGGCCTCTGGGAGGGCAGGGTGTTCTATTCGTGACCTGGGTGGTGTTAGGTTGGTGATTCGTCCCTGAACTGCACCAATCGCCTCTGCTCACGAGAAAGCGGCTGGGACACAGAGAGGGCGGAGGGGGCAGCAAGGCCCACCACCTACCACGCGGTGCAGGAACTTGTGGTCATAGGCGCTGATGGGCTTGCCGTCCAGCAGCACGCGGCCCCCCTCCAGGGGGTAGAAGTTCTCCAGGATGTGGACGCAGGAGCTCTTCCCGCTGCCCGAGGGCCCCACGAGCGCAGTCACCTTTCCTGGGGACAGGCTGAAGGAGACGTCCTGCAAGGAACACGCAGACACGGTGTGGGGCCCTGGCTCAGGTGCTCGTGCCCCTTTGCCATGGTTGGGCACCGCTGGCTCCCGGGATGCTCTCCTACCCAGGACCTGGCAGCACTTTCATAGTTGTCTCCTCTGCCTGGAATGTTCTTTCTGCAGAGAGCAACCTGGATTGGCTCCTGCGTCTTGTTCAGGTTGCAGCTCAAATGTCACCTCCTCCGAGAAGCCCTCCTTGACTGCTATGTTACATCATTCCTGCATGACTCCTATCACACCACCCTTCGGCGAATGCTCAGTCCTTCCTGACTAGCGCCCAAACTGCACGGGCGCAGGGCCTCTGCCTCGCGGACTGCTGGCTGCGCTGCCGAGGCCCGGAGGCCTGGTGTGGGGGAGGCGTGAGAGACGGGGTGCGGGAAAGGATGACGGGGGCAGGCCTGCGCCCCCCCCTCACCTGCAGGACTTTGGTGTGGGGCCGAGTGCGGTAGGTGAAGGTCACGTTCTCAAAGTCCACGCGGCCCTCCACGTGGTCAGGGGCCAAGTTCCCATCGTGCACCATGGTTGGCTGCCGGTCAATGAACTCGAAGACCTTCTCGGCGGCCCCCACTCCTTGCATCAGGCCGCTATAGACAGAGCCCACGGACTGCGGGGGGAGGAGACACGTCCTGTCCCACTGACCCCGCTCCGGGGACACCCCTGCCCCACCCATGGTGCCAGGAGATGAAGGGGCGCGAGAAGAGCAAGGACACAGCACCCACTCCGGAGGGGCTGAGGGAGGCCCCGCCTGCTAGTTCATGACAAGGACCAGTGAGAACAGGAGTGACAAATACTGATACGAGAGGAGCCAGATTTACGCTCAACCCCAGCGCCGCCCGCAGGGTGGGTGTGACCACCCCCAGACGAGGAAAGGGAAGCAGAGAAGTTAAAGGAACCAAACCGCCAGAATGTGGCGGACGGGGAACGGAACTTCCCTTCCTCCTTCAGCTGCCACAGCGTCGGAAAAATTTCAATTAAAATAAGGGGGGGGGGTCTTGATTTATACTATACATCTCCGTGGGTGAAATATAAATGTGAGTATTAATGACACCGTTTGTGGGGTGCTGTGGGTATGCTACCATGACCTCCTTTGTGCTGAGGAGGAAACTGAGGCACAGAGACCTCAAGGAACTTCCCCCGGGTCACACAGCCCTCTCTGCCCCCGCCCCCCCGCGCCCCAAGCCGGCCCCTCACCTCCATACAGTCTCCCAGGACAAACTCGTAGATGATGAAGGAGATGAGGTTGCCGCTGGTCATCTGCCCGGAGATGACGAGGTGGCCCCCGTAGTAGAGGATGCTGACCTGGACCACCAGCAGCGTGAGCTGGGGGCGGGGGGGGGGGGGGGGGCCCCTTTGTCACCGGAAGGTTGGGTCACACCTTTCCATGGCCCCCTTCCCCCCCCCCCGGTTTCAGGGGGAGGTGAGGGGGGCCGGGGGCCCCGCCCCCCCCCCCCCCCCTGAA